CCAGGGGAAATGTGGCTGGGAGGAGAAGGTAGGGGGTCGGCTAGGAGGGAGGGGTGTGGATGATGAGGATGACATTTCATGTCTATGGCAGCCAAGGTGGTTGCTGATGCTGCCCCTGCAAGGGAGGGAAGTTCCTGGAACGCCAACCAGGCCCTGACCTGAACCCAGACCCTGACCCTCCATCCCACCCCCTATACTCTTCCCACCCAGAGCAATGGGGGGGGGCAGGAGAGCCCCTGGGGGGGGGAAGAGAGGGGCTGCCCCTTTCCTACACTGGGAAAAGTGACTGTGTGTGTCTGTGTGAGATTTACTGCTGCTGGTTTTAGGTTTATAAAAATATTCTCAGGAAATTGTCTGAATCTCCTCTTGGTTTCCAGGAAGAGACTTTCTTAGAGGCAAGAAATTCCATCATCAGATTCTTAATTTGCAGCATTCATTCATTCAAAATTACTTTCCTCTTTGCTTGTTTATGTCTTGCTGTTTTCGTTGGCGTAGGGGACGGTGGTCGGCTGGATGGCGACACCTTTTGGCTTGAGGGGCTGAGCGAAGGTCCTCCTGGAAGGTCTTAAAAATCAGGCAGAAGTTGTGTGTCATCATCACACGGGGGTGCCAGACCACCACATTCTTCTGCATAGCCTCTTTCTGGTTTTGTGTGAAATATTACGAGGAATTAATGGAAACCTGAAACACTCCACAGGCTGAGAGTTGGGGGGGATTGAACAGGAGTCCCCCCCCAGTACCACTCTCATTCGCAGAGTGACACCACACGAGGAAAAATCCCAGAAGCTGAGTTGCCTTTTTGTCAAGTGACCACTCCTCCCCCAGGCACAAAGCCATGGTCAGGGCTGTGAAGGGTATCAAGCAGAAGAGGGTCTCCCGCAGAGTCCAGGGGTCCCCAACTTCAGGCCTCCAGACGTTCTTGGACTGCAACTCCCCGAAGCCTTCACCACCACCTCTGCTGGCCAGGATTTCTGGGAGTTGAAGTCCAAGAACATCTGGAGGCCCAAGGTTGGGGACCATTGGGTTAGAGGATCTAACTTTAAAGGAGAGAATGTCAGTCTGTCTGGATGAAGTTGCACGTCCCTTGAAAGGCATATCTCAGGTGTTCTCCTGGGGAGAGATGTGGCTAAACTACAGCTCCCAGAATCTCCCAGCCAGCACAGCCGTTTACCTTCCTACCTGTGAGATTCTGATTGTGAGCGGTATTTTATTAATGAACTTTCCCCATCTTTGCTTCTGGACTAGCAGAACCATGGGATGTTCAGGTGGACAGCTATGGCCAAGAGTGCTACTGGCAGCTGAGATAGAATTATTTGGTTTTTTTTCTTTTCTCCGTAGAATGGGGTGAGATGATTTGATGCTCTCCCAGTTTTCTCTGGACAAAAAGAGAAACCCAAAGCCCCCCCTAAAGCAGGTAAGATCTGTTTCATTCTTTGGGATCAGAAGCACTGTTGTGTTTGTTCATTCATTAAACGATAACCCTATGATAAGCAGGATGCAAGACGTTGTAAAGCTTGCATCAGTATTTCAGAAAATTTTAGCCCAATCGCAGGAAGCATTGGGAGTGTTTGGAGGGCGCCTACTACCAGATCTTCCGTGGTGCCTGGTGAGGGCCAGAGGGGCCACCGAGATGGGGCGTGACAGTGCAAAGGAATTGGTGTGAAATCCCCATATTCTGAGGTTCACTTTGAGTCTCTTCTGTCAACTTCCTTCTGTCACCCTGTTCTGGAGACCTCTGGTTTGTGAAAGCAAAGACACACTGTCAGTTCCCTGGCTGAGTGGAGGTTTCAACCTGGGTTGTGTGAGTCCCAGTTTTACTGTCTACAGCAGTGCCTCTCTGAACATGTGCAGAGAGTTTTTCTTTTGGTTCCCAGTCCTGCTTGGCTCAACCCTGTGGTCACCAAGAGCAGGTGCTGTCGGTGTGATTCCAACCCTGGACAGCCTGGCATGAGGCTCTCGATGCCCCCAAATGTAAACTGAGAGCACGGAGAGAACGAAAAAGGGCCCGTACGTTGCCTCTGTAAACAGGCTTCCTTCAATCACGAGGCTTTGCTTCCTACAGTCAGGAGACTTAGCATGCTCCAATCACGAGTCTTGTGGAACTGATGTCAGCTGATGCTCTACAAACTGATTGGGACACACCTCACTGGAGGTGGAGACTTGCAGGCTCAGAAGCCACAGGGACTCCTAATGTCCGAGCATTCTGAGCTCATAGGCTAAACACTCAAAACCAAGTTTTCTTAATTTTTGGGTTAGAAAAGAGTCTGTGTGGGTCTTATAAACAAAGGTGTCTCATCAACAGAAAAATACAGTATTTTTTAGAACAGGTTTATCAATCTTTTTAACCTCTTCCCCAATGTTTTCTTTGAAAAAAAAAGTTATCCAAAATTCCCTGGCTTCCACGCATTTCTAATTATTTTCATATTAAATCTTTAATGTTGGTTATAATACCTGAAATACATCTTAATTGATTTGTTATATAATAGCATTTAATACTGGTTATCTGACAACCTTCTTTTTGTAATATCTAACAAAATTTCTT